ATAATAATAATAATAATAATAATAATAATAATAATAGGGACCCTTGGTGGCACAGCATGTTAAACCGCTGAGCTGCTGAACTTACTGACCGAAAGGTCGGAGGTTCGAATCTGTGGAGCGGCGTAAGCTCCTGCTTTTAGCCCCAGCTTCTGCCAACCTAGCATTTTGAAAACATTCAAATGTGAGTAGATCAATAGGTATCACTTCTGTGGGAAGGTAACGATGCTTCATGCAGTCATGCTGGCCACAAGACTTTGCCGGCTCCTTGGCTTAAATATAGAGATGAGCACCACCCCCAGAGTTGGACCCAACTACAGTTAATGTCGGGGAAACCTTTATCTTTTAATAATAATAATAATAATAATAATAATGATAATAATAATAATCAACTAAAAAACTTTCACACCTAGCTCCAACAGACAAGAGTCCTTTGTCCCACCCTGGTCATTCCACAGATATATAAACCCTTTTTCCTAGTTCCAACAGGCCTCACTACCTCTGAGGATGCTTGCCATAGATGCAGGCGAAACGTCAGGAGAGAGTGCCTCTAGAACATGGTCATATAGCCCGAAAAAACCTACAACAACCCAATTAAAAACTGTGTTAGTTTGCCTCAGTGAGAGAAAAGCCTCAGTGTGTGAGAAGGCCTCACACTGTGAGGTAGGCCTTAGCCTGTGAGAGAAGCCTGTGTGTGAGGTAAGCCTCAGTATGAGAAAGCCTTGTGTGTGAAGCTCCAGAGTGAAGGCCTCATGTGTAAAGCCTCATGTGTAAACCTCTAGTATAAAGGCTGCGGTGTGTAAAAAAGCTACTGTGTGAATCTCCAGTATAAGTTTGTTATGAGAGAAGGCTCTGTGAGAGCGAAGCTGTTTATTTGCATGACGAAGAAGCCCAGGATGGAAGCAAATGTTCCTGGGGCTCTTTTTTTGTGACACTCTTTCTGCTCCTTGCAGTGTGATCAGCGGTGTAGGTGAGCTGGACCTGGGGAAAGATTCCCCAAAGAAGACTGAGGCGTTTGCAAAAGATGGGCCTTACCCTGACTGCCCCTTCCTGCTGCTGGACGTGCGAGAGCGGGATGCCTATGACCAGTGTCACATAGTGGGAGGTGAGGGCGACAAAAAAGGATCGTAGAATCGTTGTGCTGGAAAAGACCACAAGGTGCCATGCAACCTCTTTGAGTCCCCCTAGGGGTAAGAAAAGCGGTATAGAAATACTGTAAATAAATAATGCAGAAAGACACAATCAAAGCTCCCCCAACAGATGGCCACCCACCCACCCACCCCTTCTCAATGAGACATTCTTTCAAATATTTCAACATGGTTCTCCTGTCCCCTCTCTAGCTAGGCCTGTGGAATATGCCATGCATGAATCAAGGTGTGTTGAAATTTATGCTTTGATGGACATGTGAGATCTAAGAGATATTTTCCTCGTTTAGGCAATGTATTCCGTTGCTTTGACGGCAAGTTCTTTTGTAACATGGGAGATTTTCTTACCTTTATTTCCACCTACAGAATTTGCTACATACAGGCAAATTAGCATATAAGCAAATTGAGACCTGCAAGCCTTATATACACTTTTACCGTTCTTAAAGAAGGATGGGCACATACCTGAAAAGGTTTAGGGCAAACTTCAACCCTCCAGGTGTTTTGGACTTCAGCCTGACGGTGACGGCTGTTAGGAATTGTGAGAGTTGACATCCAAAACATCTGGAGGGAGGTCTGAAGTTTGCCCATGCCTGCTTTAAAGCAACCAGCTAAACTTGTCTTCTTTCTTTCTGTGGTGCAAAGTGGCACCCCAAAATAGATACTTGTCAATTAACACTTGTTTTATTGCTTTGGCAGCATACTCCTACCCCATTGCCACACTCTCCAGGACCATGAATCCCTATACGAATGACGTTTTGGAATACGTATCCTTTGGCACAGAGAGAACGAGGTTCTTTTCTCCACCAGCCGAGAGGTTTAGGTCGAACGTTTAGCTTGTTCAGCTGAGCCACTTCAAAAGAAGGGCAGAAGGCCATTAAGACCAAAAAATAATACAGTTCTGCAATCACAATAATGTAGAATCATAGAATCAAAGAGTTGGAAGAGACCTAATGGACCATCCAGTCCAACCCCCTTCTGCCAAGAAGCAGGAATAATGCATTCAAATCACCCCTGACAGATGGCCATCCAGCCCCTGTTTAAAAACTTCCAAAGGAGGAGCCTCCACC